ACTTGAAATCCGACCCACAGGACAGGGGATGTGTTCACACATTTGTGTTTATTTTATGTCAAACTGTCTTGTTATTCATGTGTTATGGAAGGGAGTGTCAGGATTCATTAGTCTAGTGAAAGCGAAAACGTAAAGTGAAAACATAAAGTGAAAACGTAGTAGAAATGCACAGGGATCACAGGACAGCATTTCAGGGGAGTATGAAATTGGGCGATGTTGTGAGTGACTGAAGGAAGGAAACGGGTGCAGAGAGGGAGGCCGCTGAGCAAACAGTGGGTGAGAGTGACACGCGAGGCTCACTCCAACAGAGCTGGTGTGCAGCATGCTGCAATGATATAAAAACTAATTTACAGATTGAGAAGAGAAGCTGTGTTCACCCGCTGCACTCGGCTACCAGCGTGCAGCGCTCTCTGTTTGGACGTGGCTCTGAGAGGGCGTTGTGTACGAGCATGTTTTTAATGGCAACATCACAAGCAGACCATGCTGCTGCCGCTGCTGTGCGAGAGTTTGTGATTTTATATTAAAAAACGGTCCTCAGACACTAAAGGGGAAGGAAAGCCACTTCTAATATCTGGAAAGAAGTTTTACTGTGCTTAATTTCTTTCATAAAAATATTGCGACAGAGCGAATGAGAATATGCGGGAACTTTTAAAACACTTCAAAAGAGTAGTTCACTCTTAAAACAATTGAGCTGGTATCACAATACACAGCTGAAAGACTGCCTTACTATAAAAATAAGCAATGTATAAATTTATTACTCCGTCCACCCAGAATGCGGACAGACAAATTTCTTGACTGCAGAGCGGATATTTCCACACATAAGTCTTGAGCCATGTGTAATAAAGTAATGGAGTGTGGTTGCATCCATCACCCTGACCTGAGGGAAACCTCTGCCGGAGCCTCAGCAGGGTGAAGGTCGGGACATTGGTGAGACAGACCAGAGGAGATACAGGGGTGTGGCAGATGCCAGAGCCCACATGTCCCAACAAACAGGAGCGACAACATCAGGGTTATCCCTCCACTATTTCCATCCCTTCCGTGAAGCGATGAAAACCATCAGATCTTGAATGGTGACCAAACGTCCAGAGCAGGAGGACGTAATTGCTGCCTCTGCTGAGGCGTGGAGGCATGTAACCTCTAATTTCCCGTGAATAATGTCCCTGTGTTGGACGGCGGACCAAAGAAAGTGGCAGTTTCTTTTCTCAGAGGGTTTGTGGCTCGGCTAATACATTCAACCATCGCTTTATGACCGATGGGCCTGATAGCCAGGCTGCTGAAACAAACGTACTGCTTCCTCTGCGCTCTGCAAAGTCTAACATCAGGTTCAGAGAGGAAAGGAAAGGAAAGGAAAGCATTGTTTCTATCCAGCAAGTGTTTAAATAATGCAAATCAAGGCTCATCAGATTCAGCTCAGACATGATAGGAGCCAATATGCAGGAGAGAAAGAATCCGTTGTTCTCTTTTTATTGCTAAACTTCTTGAACCCACGTCAGAAGCCAATTCTATGTATGCAAAGAAAATTATGGCCAAGAAATCAGCACAAATCAGTGTGTTAACTACATTTTCCTCTAATCCTTTAGCGAAATTACAGCGACTTGGGTTTGTTGTTTGGATTAGGTATGCAAAATCAGGTTACTGCAGAAAGCTAGTAGTAACCCTGATTGACCAAAACTTATGGAAGTGGAATTGCACATTCTTCAACGTAATTTGTGAGAGAAATTGTTGAACATTTTGGGGGGGAAAGATATTAGTTTTCCTTCCAAGAGTGACGAGGAAAAATGAATACAAATCTCATGTTTGTGTGTAAAGCAGAGAGCTGGAGTCAGGATGTGGTTAGCCTAGCTTAGCCCCAACGTTTGGCAGATGAGGAAGACGGAAGGATGAAGCTGCCAAAGTTGCTGTGTTAAAACAGAGCAAAATACGCAAACCAGCATGGTTAATTAGCATGTTGTATCTCGCTTTGTTTAATCCATATTCAAAGAGAAATGTCATCTAGACAAATTGTGGCTTTAGGGGAAGTTATGTTCGGGAATAAATTCCTGGTAAACAACTGCCTGGCGCTCAGACATACAGGGTGCACAAGAATCTGTTTTTTGGTCAAGAAATAGAGCCAACATGTAATTCTACTTGAAGACCATAAAATGTGTTTTGTATATTTTAAATGAGATACAATGTGCTAAGTTGTTAGCAGGAGAGATGTTGCTCTGCATACATTTTAACCTTGCAGGGAGCCATTTGCTGCCCTGCTCTTTATGTATTTGGATCAAAGATAAAGTCAGTAGCTTTTACTAAAAAAATGAAAACTTAGACGAAAGTAATGTTGCTCAGTCATCTCTTCTGGGCCTACATACATGTGTTTTGGAGACTGCGTCTGCAGAGACTCTGTCCTGACTGGATTTTAATGTCTCGTTTTGTTTTGGTCGACTCGGGACGTTTCTGGGAGGGAAGCTGGTGTGTCCTCCCCCAGCCAATGAGAGCGCACAGGTGAGTTTAGAAGTGGATACAATTCAACCATCGCATTAGATTAAAACTGCCAAATATGACGGACATGGACATACATGTAGGGGCAAATACGACAAGATATAATCATTGTGAGGCGAAATGCAGAGCAGATAAAGCTCGTTCACAAGGTCGAATCGTGTGTCGACTCTAACACGCTGACCTGGCGTCAGTCTGCTATCTGTTGGCGGTTAGCTTGTGCTAGCGGGTGGTAGCTTGCAGTGTAGGTGGAACGTACACTTCGTCCTGTAGTGAGTGTGAACCCAGGAGAAGAGGTCCAGTTTGAATGTTGTGTTTACAAGCTGCAACGAAAAATACTACAGACTCCTTTAAATGAAAAGAAAAGAGATGGACACCCTATTTCTCACCCCACTTTTGGAAAGAATTTTCACCTACTACTTGTAATTATCAAAAGAGTATAGCAGGAAAATAAGTTTTTAAAAAAATAAGGGGAAAATTGTGAACTTTATATCTAAACAAAAGAAAAAAAAATCAGCTGAAGGAAGGGAGGCTAAGCTGACCCACACAAAGAAAACAAAATGTGTCCCTCTTTGTTGAAATGAATAAATGCTTTTCTTTGACTATTTCTAGCGAATCCGTTCTGACACTAGGCATGCTGCAGAGGCCATAAAACTGGCTGTGTCGAATCAAATAGCCATTAATCATCGTGAATTTATTTGCTCTGACTGGTTTGAAAACAGTGGCTTCTTTCAGCTCCTAGCTTTTGTGTTTTCGGAGGATCTTCATTGTAGGAAGGCTTCTCAAATACTCTCCTCCATCCGTGCTCTCCCAGTGAACCCTGCAAACAGCTGCTAGTGTTTAAACTTCAAAGAGTGATGAAGATTTTCAACCACATATTTTCAATGTTTTGCTAATTCTCTATTTTAGCACGTTGCTGATGTTAATGATAAAAGTCCCATGAGGTTTAGCAGCAGCCTCTGTGGTTGAATGCTGCAGCATCTCCGCTAACTGGGACCAGGACAGAGGGATCAGGGAGACAGAGAGGCTGACAGGCTGTGTGAGGGCAGCGGTGGTCGAGGCCAACAGTCTTCCACTGAATCTGACATGCAAAATGCTGTCGAGCCTGACATGGTCTGTTTATAATAAACAAGAACAGAAGACAAACGGACCAGCTGTACTCACATTATTACCACTGCAGTGCCTTAACACAAAAAGTAAAGAAAAACAACAGGATTAAAATGAGTGAATAAAGCCTTTCAGTAAAATATTCACTCACAAAAAAGCAACAACCACATGTGGGAGAAGCAGAGCATGTTGCTGTAATGAGGGATTTCCCAAACATCCTTCATTAAGTCCTTTAAAAGTTATGCCAACTAAATGCCATTTAAGCGCCTTTGTACAGAGATGACCCTGAATTATGGACTTTTTAGCATTTACAAACAATAATGAGTTTCCCTGTAAAATCTATTTCACTATTTCTAATGAAAACCCCCGACATAATCTAACTTTTAAATCTGGAGTTATGTGGAAGAAATGAGCAGAGACAGGGCATACAGTTGTATTACCAGAGCTGTGCACAAGTCTGGTGACCCGTTAATCCCTAATTATCAGCGTTAGTTTTTTTAATTATTATTGATCTTGATAAAATTATTATCAAGTGATACTAAAAATGGCGGACCTTTGCAAAAGTTTTGTTCTAGGCTGGGGGTGGAGTCCATGGGTGGAGATACCAGGGGAGGGGATTTCTTTTTACCAGAATCCCACTGTGACATCACAAGGAGAGCACATTTGAAACATAGAATTTTTCTCTGTGTTGTAAGACTTATGCAGACTACATACAAAGGACTGGATGGGTTTATTTCACATTTTGTGGATCTGTAGACACTCAGGTTACCCAAATATATGTTCAAAAACACTGTAAAAGTGAATTTATCATAATATGTCCCCTTTAAGAAAAATATATCAGAAAGACTTGTTTGTTTGTCAGTGGTCTGACAGATTAAAGTTAACGTATCTCATAACGGAGTGACGGTTAACAGAGTTAAACTTTTGAGTAACTGTTCCCAACTCGATGTATTAACAATTTTTATGGAAATAAAGTACGGTAGTTCCCTTAAGACTTGAAAAATGTGTTAAAATTATCACATTTATTACAAACACAACATTTGCAGACCCCCATGTAATCCAAACTGCTACTATATAACTAACAGCAAGCGTTGCTGCCTTGTTCTCATTGCAGGCTGTGTCTTTTCTTATTTGGCTGAGTTACAAATATTATGAGACATAAGAGCAGAAGTACACGGACAGTGTGTAGAGGGTTGAGCAACCTAACAGATGTGTGCCTTGTTTGGATCGTGGTCTGGAGGATTATTTTAGGAATGTTACTTCAGAAGGACATCACACTGAACTGCAGTATTTGTTTAAAGATCAAACATGAAGAAGAAACATTTATTTACATCATCGCTGTCAGAGAGAGTGAGCAAAAACAGGACAGTAAAAAGCTTTAATCAATTACAATTCAACAGTTTATTTCTCAGGTTATTTATTGTGCTAGTTATAAAAGACAAACATAAATCTCTTCACACTTCACATGGTAAATACTTCCTCTAACCTCATGCTTAGGGTGGGAGGCTAAAGTGCTGTTATAATGCTGTGCTGCCGGGTTTCATGTTCGCAATCATCCAAACATTGTGACAAATTGCTGTCACCTCTTCTCATTTGATCAAAAATTAAAGACACACTAGGTAATACTGGATGATAGAAAAGATCAAGATATATGAAGTAAAAAACAACATCACTGATAACTTTCTAGCTGCTGTAAGCTAGCTAACATAATCATTAAACCACAGTTTGACAGTGTGTCACATCAAATGAATGTCCAGAATGGTTATTATTACATTATTGTGAAATATCTTGAGATAACTCTTGTTTTGATTGGCGCCAAACAATTAAAAAATGTATTTATTGACTACTGTTAGCTAGCTAATATAAGACAGAAATGACCCCCACTTGTCTCAGAGTAGCTAATGATAATAACATTGTTATTGATTTAACTATAAAATGGCCAACGATCCCTCGTGATTTTCACAAAAATGATCTTTTAAAGTTGACCTGTTGTGCTGATTCCCTTTTTAAAATGCACATGGGTTAGGGCTAGGGTTACAATGCTGGATGCTCATACTAACATACATACTTATCCCATCTCCTGCGATCCCAGGAAGTTTTTTCATGCCACTGTAACTTTTGCTAAATGTTGCTAAGTGCTACACTCATGATGGATTAATGCTGGGTCTTTGTAATATAGCAATGAGTAAGGGCTTTTCAAATCATGAGGGATCGCAGCAAGGAGGTGTGGACAACAGGAACGTGAGGAACACAAAGACTTGAACACAAAGGATAAATCCTTCCTGCATATTATCCCATATGCTCTTTTGTAAAGGGTCTAGAGATTGGCGCAATACAAATAATGAGAAAGAAAGAAAATGGACACGTGTGGAGGGGGTCCTTAAAGAGACATTAGCTGTAATTAACCATTTCAGGCAGAGGCGGAACAAGGTTTTTTTTTAAAGTTGTGCAAAGCTACTCTACAGATTTCACAGACTGACAACATGAAAGATGAGCATGAGGAGAATTTGAGTTCTTTACGAATCGCCTGACAATGAAATGATCATGATTTAACAGATTCTGTACATGGATTTGTAAACCTTGAGCACAGTAGTAAGACATGATAACAGCATTTTGTGCCTCCCACTAGCATCGAGCCATGTGATTAAAGTGAACTTGCTGTGATTATTCATTGTCAATAATATAACTTTGCCTCTCTGTTAGCCTGGGCCAGCAGTCGGATGTTGAGCACGCAGCCAGCCGCAGCTTCCTGGAGCGTCTCATCGTCAGAGCCCATGATGTGGATGAGCGGCTATGGGAGTAAAAAAAAAACAAAAAAACAGAGGTACCAGATTCATAAAACATCAATGTTGACTGACAGTGTATTAACCCACTTGTACAAAAAAGTACCCAAACAGGCAGCTTAATGCACATACCATAGCCATGTTAGCAGTCGACACTTCACAATCCTAAAGGGCTGCATGCATGTAAAGTGGCTGTGCTGCGACAGTCTCAGGCAGCAAGGCCATGTGGTCCTTTCTGTGTGTGTGTGTGTGTGTGTGTGTGTGTGTGTGTGTGTGTGTGTGTATGTGTGTGTGTGTCCCACTTTATCCTTCCAAACCATGCCTCAGCAAAGGGGTTACAGCTGCGAGCACACATGCTCCTGTAAGTTGTGTTCAGATGAAAGTCTTGTAGGGCAGGCTCAACATTAAAAAACCTGAGCATGAACCACACAACTTGACAGCCTCTGCCGTTCCAAAGGTCAGATTATATCCGACTATTAGTGGCTTGTGTAATGGATCTCGTTAGATCTTATTGCAGAACAAGGTTTTGCGCTCTCCAGATATGCCCAGCTTTGGAAGTTTATATTTTGGTGACATAAAACTGAACATTAAAAAAAGTTTTTTGAAAGTTCAAAGAGCTGCGCATTGTGCAGGAATAAGCAGAAAGGAACACTGGATATATGGCATACCACTGAGTGGCATGTGCTTTGTAGGGGTGAGCCATTTTTCTATTTTATCTGCAGCAAAATCACTACATTATGTCTGTGGGCGTCTGCGTGGCTGAATCAAAGTAAATGTCAATGTAAGCACAAATACTCTGGTGTAATGGATGGATCTAAATGTGTTCAATGTGTGCTCCCTGGTGAAATCACAATGGTGTGCCACAGAGGTTTCCTAAGCCACACTCGCAATTATTTTGGATCATCTTGTTTACATCCATAATGAACCAACGGCAACATTACATCCCTCAACTAAGCACTTAAGGCCTCCCTGCTACTAAACACAATGAGGCTTTGATAAATACAGCGACTGCTGAGACGTCTGAGGCACTTTTTAAGTCCCACGTATCAAAGCCGTGTTCAGCATATGAAAGGGGATTTAAAAAAAATAATCTCTTTAAAGGAAGATAATGCTTTAACAGGCTCACAAGTCGAGTTTGTGAACCATCATGTTTCCCAGTTGATGCTCAGAAACACTTAAGACAATATCAAGACTGATGTCACAGTCAAAGAAAAAGACCGAAAAATATTCATACCTCTCCTTTAGATTCATTTAAAAGCAGATGAATGATTCTAAATGTCATTCATTTTGTATTTCTAAGCAGGGCTAAAGGTCGACCCTGACCCTTCCCCGTGTTGTATGCAAACTTGTGACTGTGCACGACTCGGCACATTTGTGTGGTTAGCAAACAGCCAAAGGAGCAGAGACAAGACATTCCCAGGATGTTCAGGGAAAGGACAAACAGTGTGAAGAAAACAGATGAGAGATGAGGTGAGCCAGCTTGTATATGTACAAGAACAAAAAAGGAAAAAGGCTCTGAAACGACGACCTAAGTTTTTCTAAGAATACACTTCCTTCTGATTATAATCGCTTCATTTTGTGTTAAGAAGACTTGCAGCAGTCCAAGATGTCAGCCCCTCTCAATGCACCAGTGTGGTGGAGTATATGTGAAACATTTGCCGTCAGGTTTTATAGGATTTTTAAATAGCACCCAAAACACCTCCAAAAGTAAACTTACATCCACAGGCTCCAGAAAACATGCAGCTCGCTAAACAAGTCTCTTTTGTGAAAAGAGGATGCCTGAAAAGTGCCAGAGGCAGAGTTTTTGCCAACCTCATAGCATGTTATTCAGACGTAGCCAAATAAGGTCTCCCGAAGTGCGCGGCTCAGCTAAGATAAGCGTGTCTCTCTTCGCTGCCTTTTTTTTTCAAGCTCGCTCGTTCCCTCCCAGCTGGGATCTCTCAGAATATAATACGGCACTTGTTAGATATTCCCTGACTGTGGTAACATGAACACTTGCCCCACATTTGAAAGCTGAATCGTGAGCCTTTGAGGTTTTTGCAACTTAACAGAGCTTCAGTAAGTTCTGACCTCCAAGAAGGGAGCTGGGGGAACACGCTTCCCTCCAGCCAGCGAGGGAGGGGGAGGAGCAGGCATGAGGTCTGGGCCAGGCTGCACAATATTGTTGCATGTGTGTACATACACATTGAATCGCACAAGGAGGTGTCATGGTGTTAAGTGTGCCCTATTGCACCTTGTCTGCCCTCAAGAGTTCAGGTTAAATTCCCATGTGCCAGGTCTGACAGCCATTATAGCTCCATCAACCCCCTTCTAACCCAGCTTTCCCGTGTTTTAGACTCCAACCTGGACGCAAACAGCACAAACACACAGCCGTGTTTAGCAGGGGTTGAGGGGAAGCTGGTGAAGGATGTCAGGGTAAACAACATTCCCTGCAGCCTCCAGTGAGCCGGAGACTGTTAAACTGCTGTTTCTGGTAGTCTGAAGGGGAAGAGGAGAAGGCGGGAGGGCGACTTTAAAATCAATGACTTGAGGAGGAAAGTTTCAGTCTGAACCACAGCTGCCTGGAAATAGCTGACCAAACTGTCATCCAGACAACAGAGACTTAGTCGACCAGGTTTTCATTAGATCAGACTCCATTCATCAGCTGTGCATCATCTGTTATGTGTGCCTGTGTTGGATCCATTCCTAGCCTTACCAACCCAGTCGTCCTCCCCTTCACATCATTATTTTGTGATTTGAGTAAAAAGAAAAGCCTCTTGTCTGAACCCTACTCTAACCCAAACATGGCTTGGCATTTCTGACCCAATGCACAAGGACGAGAATCTTAGTTCAAAGTCTCTAAAACATTACATTCCATGGCTGTTAAAAAACATGGTAGTCATAACAGAGCAGGCAGCACACAGCGGCTGTATCATCCGCTCACTACACCCACAACCTGAAGTCATGTTTCCCACAAACCAACAGGAAACTGAAGAAGTAAACCTGTGATGCTCTGTTGGGTTTTTATTCCTGCCCTCACATTTAGAGTGTTTTCTGCCCCCCACATCCTCACTGTGCACTTTCACTCCTCGCGTCTGACTGTGCAGGAGAGAGAGAGAAAAAATAAAACAAACACTCAGCAGGCTGGGGCAGCAGCGTGCTCATGGCAACTAAAGTGCAAACGTTTTTCTCATTTAGATTAGCAAACGCCTAAAATACATACCAGGACCTGGCAAAAGCAATGCTCTGGAAAGCTTTCAGTTGAAAATTACGAATCATTACCACCACATTTAGTAATTTTCATCCATTTACTTCACAAAGCTTTTCTTATGAAAGAGCCTCTTTAATGCAAATAGCTGGCTGAAGCTGTCTACAAGGATTTATGGTTTAAGTAAACAATCCCCAGAGCTTCTGGAAGCAATGTAAAGCACAGGAGGGAAGGCATGTTGATTCTGTACATGACACAAAACCAAGCACATCCGTATAAAACTGTGATATATCAAGAGTGGATGTGAAATCAAACGGTGCATGCTATTCATCTTTTTTTCTTTTTTCCTCGGTATGTACCTTGCACCTGAAGTCTTTACTCTTGTACAACGTCTGATCTTAGAAGCAGACTGATTCCAAGAAAAGTACGGCTCACCAACTTTAGGAGCGATGAAACAACAAATATTTAAGAACTTAAAAAATGACACAAGGTGAATTATTACTTTTAATAGTCATACTAACTATTGCGCAAATCTGAGGCTGAGTACACTAAGACAAGTCAGTAATCTCTTTTCCAGTGTGAAATGCTTCCTCATCCATGTTTAGTTTCCTCCATGAATCCTGAGGGACCGGGCCATACACCATAAAGTGCACTAGAGGGGAAAGTTACATTCTAAACCAACCTTGGAGCAAGAGAGACCCTCGCTTATTGGAAATGGTATACTACACGTGGGTGAACATGTTTGTAGAGCTTCTCCACGGCACAGAAAAAGCTCTTTGAAATACGTTTCCAATAATACAAGAGTCAGTCCAGAGTTTTACATGTGGCAGTAAATCAGACACATGGCTGTGTATCAATCCTCAATAATCTGTCTCCCAACGCATTCAGATCTACTGGAGTTATTATTTTAACACGTTCTCTCTACCAGCTGCTTGTATATCATGAAGCACGACATCACAGTGCAAACCGAAATCCAGGAGACTGACGAGGTCCCCTCACTGAAATGTTTCCTCCGGGGTCAGGCAGGTAAGTATCTGCCGCCCTCCCTGACCGACTGAGACTGAGGCTAGCCTGAACAATGAGGCTGCCTGTGTTGTGTTTCCATGTCTGAGATTAAGAACAAATGCAATACTGGTGCACTTACGTGGCCTTTGGTTATTAAGCTCTTTAAAAGTCCAAAAATACATGAAGGAATAGTGTTGCAACTCTTAACTGGTACATTAATAAGGGCAAACACAGAGACAGATTAAAAAGGGTGGTATGCCTTTCTTCTGGACTCACACCCATACAAACACACCAGATTTCGAATATAGACACACACACACGCACACACTGAGAAAAAAAGAGGGTTTGTCCAGTTTTTGTCGTGGCTCAAACTACAAAAAAGCACTCCACTTAACGACTTTTGCAAATTGGACATAACTCTGTTGGAACACCCAATGTTGAGTCCAGCTACCAATTATGGCCAGTGTTGAACCACATACACTGTAACAGCAGATCGAGTTAAAGTACACCATTTAATGAACATGGGAAAAGAAGTATCTGGCTGCAATGGCATAACCACTTTATAATTTATATCGCAGTTGTTATTTAGGGTAGGGAAAAAGGATTTAAATTCACTTTGGACTGCAAAAAGATTTCCATGTGAAAGTGCTTCTATGTGAAAGATGAATGAATTAGAGAAAAAGATAGCACTCTTTTCCCGAAATACTAAACTATGGGTACATGATCATCCATGACACGACATCAATTACAGCCTAATCTGAACATAAAATCTAGACATCACTGTCAGAGACAAACATAAACAGTCTCTGATGCAGAGCGTGGAAACAGCCCAAAAGGCTCAGACTTTAGACAAAACAATGCTTGTTTCTTTTTGGACGAGTGCTACACAACTGAAATGAAGGAAGTTGGCGGATGTAGCCTTGGAGAAAAAAAAAAAAACACTTGACCAAAAAAACCAAACATTGTTCTCTTTAAGCCTCGAACAGCTCTGACCCCACTCTCTGGCCTGAACCAGATCTGCATTCTACCCTGATGTCCAGGAACAGCCCTTAGCAACAGTTACCCCCAGCTACAGCCCTTTGACTTGTGCTGTAATGGCATCTAGGGTCTACCGGAGAAATGGCACTGCGCACACACTGAGCTGTTAGCTTTGCTGAATTCCCATGACGGCTAGAAAGTGGAGTCATGTTTCCGCTGCCGAATGAAACCCACTTTGTTTCTGCCCTCATCGGTCAAAGTCTCTGAAAATAGTCACAGCTTTTCAAGGTTTATTACCCTGTGTTTTTCACACACTGGGTAAAATAAGGGTGGGGGGGGGCAAAGCACTTTTGCTCAAGGTTATTATGACACATTTAGCCATACAAGCACAAAATAAACAATAGAATTAATTCTTTGTAAAATGCAGAAGTAAGGAGTCAGAAATCCAGCCTCAGCAGAACTAACACTGACCTTGACCACTCCGCTCCGGTGCATGCTGATGCAATTGTTGGGGTCCTTTGACAGCTGGTACAGGGCCATCACTGTGCTCTGGTGGACCGCTGTGTCTTTTGAACTCAGGTATTGCACGAGGGGGGCCACAGCTCCGGCATCACCGAAAGATGTCCTGTTGCTGCCCCACATGCAACAGTGGCCGATGGCCTCAGCCAGGTGGCGACGCAGCTTGTCATCAGTCTGTGGAAAGGAGAGCAGGATGCTATTGATCTCAAGAGACCAGCCTTCACAATGTAGACAACAACACATCTTATACAGTCTGCAGGAGACTCCTGGCAAAACATTACTATATACTTCTCATTACCTGGTTTTATGCTGAGGTAAATGGGAAAAGACCAACACACTGTTGTAAAGATTTGTTTACTGACATTAAATGCAGTGCTGTTGATTAGCAAAACCTTGTTGTTTGTCTCCAGCAGTGAAGTGAACTTACTGTGTCAGTCAACTTGGCCAGCAATGGGACAACCCCATGATCAGTAAGGACTGCCAGATTCTCCTTGTCTCTGGCTATTTTGGCAATGGCAGCACAGATGCTCGCCAGCACTTCAGTGTTTGTTGACTTCAGCAAATTAACAATCAGTTCCAATCCACCAACGAGGGAGCGCACCATTTCTCCTGCATCCTATGGGCAAAGAGTCTGTTATTAGCTGGTGCTCTGTCAAAATGAATGAGCAGGATGATGAAGAGGGAGCCAGTCTAATGACTGACAAGGAGAGGCAGGCAGGGGCATTTGAGCAAGGCAGACAAAACAAGAAACACCAAAATTAGTACAAAGAAAGTACTTTGATCAGCCCAGGAAACAATCAAAGTCCCATCAAAGCAAACCAACCAGGAGAACTATCTTTATCTAAAGTTAAACATAAAACAACCTCTCCTTCGGTAAACCTGTTGTTGATCTGGGCAAACAAGTAGAAAATTAATAAGACTGAAAAATGTGTAAAATAAATTGTTGTAGTTGTACCTTTTTGTACCTGGTTGTACTTAAAATAAATGTATCCATATTCAGGAATTAGTTTGCGTGAAGTTAAGAAATACAGGTTAAACAGAAAAAAAAAGATTCAACATCACATTTTTCAGTGCATCTTTTTGAAGCTCTTAAGCTTTCAACCTAAATGTCATCATGAATATGACACTTCAAAATAAGAGCTTAGTCATAGCTTTTGAAATGTTTGCCTCAGACTGACGCATAGTGTATTTAAAGCTTAATGGTTTGAGTTCATGGCAACATGTAACACCAAAGGGATCACAGTCACTTTTGGAGCAATTTCTACCAAACAGACATGCTGGTGACGAGAGCCGGGAGAACCACAGCAAAAGAGCTGGAAGCATCTCTGGCTTCAGTATGGTTTGGCACATTAGGCTGCTGTTTAAAGTCACAACACACCGTATCACCAGCCATGGAAGTGTACATCATGGTGGCAGAGGCTGTAATGTTCAGTGCTTTGAAAATAGAACACACATTTCTCCAAAAGGCATACAATTATGGATTACCGGACTACACATTAATCACAAAGCACGTTTAATTTGAGTATGTTTCAACATCAATCTACATGTCCACAGCTGATGAATGGTTCAATATGCAAAAGATGGTTAAACATACATTTTGGTTGTACTTCATTCTGTAAATTAAGGGATTTCATCAAATTCAGCACAGACAAAACAGCAATGGGTGATTTAGGGGTTTAGAGCGCAGCTACTTGAGGAGAGCTGGATGTACTGTTGTGTTCTCCTCCCTAACAGAGAGCTACAGCTGAGATCAAGCCAGGGTGCGGTGTATGGGCCCTGTGATGCCGTGCCAGAGGATGAGCCATGTGTGCAGTGCAGGGCAGGGAAGGGAAGGGGGGGGGAGAGAGATTGCCGGGGCCAGGAGCTGACCTCCGACACACAGGAAGCCCTTCCTCAGGAATACTGATGATGGCTGGCCGGGAGTCCCTGCGACAGAGGAAGCTCTCTCAAGCCACCAGCTGCGGTAGACTAGCCAGAATCTCTTTCATGGCCTGGACGGGCCCCCAGATCTGAAAACCGCAACATTATGAGGCTGCACACGGAAAGGCTCTTTCTCGCTATCCTCTCTCTCCCCTCATCTTACCCGGGATGAAATGAAATAGAAAACACATTATCTGCTGTTCTGTGCGTGATCTCAAGCCGATGGGAGCAGGCCAAGCTGAGAATGGCAGAAGCATGCCATGACCCTTTCTCTCCAGCAATCAGGCTACTATAGCATACATAGCTACTATGTAAAGGAAGAATAAATCAAGCATCTAAGTGAGCCTTTGCATCCAGGCAAATTCATGTTACACCCCATTACCTTCAACTGGGAGGATTCTGCTTCTTTGATTGGAGAAGAAAGGTAGTTGAACATTTCACTATTAAGTCGCAGCACTTTTATAGTACTACAGGCGGTGACTCCAAACTGTGGAGCAGAGGGCTCAGAGATACTGTGTATGCTGAGGGGCAGCAGTACTGTCTGAAACATCCCTCAGATGCATTTATACCACGGCTCTCTCATAAATCCACTATGGAGCTGCTAACTCAAACCACGTGGGGTTTTTATCTAAATAGCGACTGCACCAAAAGCGGCTGTATCAGATTCCTGAACTCGATGGGCAAAGAGCACTATTTAGTTCTTGTCTCAGAAAAAAAAAAAATCACCCAAAGAGCATGTTCATGAATTTCCCTCAAAAGTGGCAAACTGACGTCCAGACATACATTGTCAAACTTTGTTAGCGCTCCATAGTAGGTCCGCAGTCTCCCTCCATATGGTTGCCATGCATCATTTTGGCTGCACTTCTTGGCCAGAGAAATTCCAGCCTGAACAAAAAAAGGGTTTCACCCCCAAGACACCTGCCTGGGCCCAATATATCTGTTTCAACTTAATCGCATCGTCCCATTGACGAGCTGGTTACCTTGATCACAGTGATAATATAACACTACCACAGTTATAACTGGAAAGTATATAAGGGCAGAGGGGATTAAAGACTTAGTAATGTCTAACTGAAATCAAAGCTTCTTTGAAAAATAGGGTTTAGGCCATAAAGGAACTCATAATGTTTTAGTGCTAAAGAGCGTTTGTATGTTGTATCACTGTAAGAAAGTGTGATAAAGAATACACACAACACTCGTAATGCACATCGACCCGTGCCTCACTTCCTGGGTTTAGATTAAGTTGTGGGTTCTTCTGCAAACCATTTGTGCAGTTTTCATAAGACAAGTCCTTTTCACAGAAACTGTCTGATACCCTTTGGAAGACAGTGTGCCTCTGTAACTAGTAGCATGTTGAGGGAGGATTTTCAGCTGGGAAATTTAGAAGCCATGCCACAGGATATTACTCAGTCTCTCTCCCAATTCACCAATCCAAGTGTGCCAAGGAGACTTCTCTGCTTCATATTAGCCTGAGGTCCATGTAAGCCTCCTCTGAAACAGCTCTGCCCCTGCTAACCTCCCAGCAGCAGCAGCAGCAGGTTGGAGGGAGAACTTCCAGACATGAATGCTGATATAAGCTGGCTTCTATTTAGTGAGTAGGATAACCCTTTATTCTGAAAGACAAAACCTCTGCAGACTTCATTGATTAAGATAATTTCTATGTGTGCCTTTGGTGTGCGTCACTCACATAGCCACAGGTCAGAGGCAGAAGACAAATCACTTCTCTGTACTGTACCTTTGCATTCTCAATGCATGGACAAAGGGCCCACGCTGCACTGGACTGAACATCTGCTCTGGGGTTTTTCAGTAAGGACCACACCAGGCGGACTCCATCGAGCTGGTCAATGATTCTGAGAAGAGACAGAGACATCAGAGAAGTGTGAGAATGAAAGAACAAGAAAAAGTAAGCAAGACAAAAAAAAATTGTTGTGATTTTTACGACAACTTTCATTGTGCATACTTTTTTCCTTGAAAGATTTGAGAGTATCACTCTTTTCATTATGTTTGCCTCTGCTGGCTAGCAGCAGGTTCACTATTACAGCAGCCAAGAAGGATCAAAGGATCTATCGATTTCAGCATTGGATTTTCATTACAACCTGCCTTCAGTCTTGCTCAGTTACTCTGCAGGCCTGAAACCCACCCACTGTCTGTTCACTTAAATCACCCACCATGGAGCAATGCTACAGCCAGAGGTTAACTTACATACATCTGTGTATAGTGCTTCATGCACAGATTTATAAATAGAAGCTGAGACAAACTTACACTTTATGTTGGTAGCTTGTTTTTCAACCAAAGCCAAGAAGAGGACCCTCTTTCCAAATCAAACACAGCCAGAGACAGGTCGCTCTATATTTCACAGGGTCTGAGCGAAGTTTACTTAGGCATGAGCTGTATTTCATGCCGTATACATGACTGTATTCAAAACTGCAGTCAGGGTCTGGGAACCCGAAGCATTACGCCACAGAGCACCCGTTGTCTGGTATAAATAACATGTAACGTGTTCCCCATGTGTGCTTCCACCAACAAGGCCGACATTGAATGCTGTCATAATTACTTAAACACTCCCTAATCACAGTATCTCCGTGACTGGCAATGAGCGAACACTCATCAGGGACGTCCCCTGCGCCATCTGTCTTCCGTTTGCACATAAATCAGTCTAGAGGGATCATAACATCAGATTCCAGTCTACTGGGCCTCTTAAATCCGGACCAAAAAACAAAAGCGAAGCATCATATCATCCGCCAAAAACAGCTCGCTCTTCCCATGAAGCAGGTATGATAAAGATTAGCAATGAAGTTGTGGCTGACAGTGATGGATTAGAGGAGGAGACCACAAACCCTGGAGGCATTAAACAACGTGTGTTCACTCTTGTAGCTACACAAGATTCATGGGAGGAAGTGCTCTGTCATTAACCACACACTGCCTACTGGTTGAGAATAAAAACAAACATGCGAGTATTTGATGGAAAACTTGAAAGTGATCTGTGCTTGTTTTGGACTCTCAGTAGTTATGGAAGACCTGAATATGAATGATGACGATATAATGATTACTCTGATCAACAGAAGTTTCTGTCGGTTGGATAAGTCATGTTCACTGACAGGAATTTTGTAGCTGACTGTGTGGTATCATGCATATATCATAATCATATTTGTTCGCAAGCCAAACACTGCCTAAACACGGGTTTGAAAAACAGCTTTAGCACTGTTGAGTTAGAGCAGGAAACAACCGAATGTGAGTGATGTTAATTGGTCAGAAAACTACTGTACACATAAATGTCTCAAAATACGCTATTGCCACAAAAACATACAACATGCTGTTGGAATAAGACCTCACTGTTTACAGCAATGTGTGAAGGCTGAGAAATGACAAGTTCAGGCCTGAATATACATACCGTGAGAAAACATGGAGAACATGATGAACCAATGTGAAACATTTCTCCATTTGTGCAAAGTTTACAACACTTAGTGGCTTTATTTTGACATGCTTCACTTTTTATTGTACGCCTTGTTTTCTTTTTCCCAAAAAAAAGTAACAGGCTCATTGGATAGCATTAACAGCTAACAAACAGTGTGGATTGTTAAGTTGTATAAGTGTCCAGCTCTAATTAGGAAGGATCTTGTAGTCCATAACAATCTCATAAAAGCAATGAGGCACAGATGGAGGCTCGGCAATATTCAGCAGTATTGAGTGTGAGTTTAAATGAACACAGAACAAAGAGCTCTGGACTGTGGTTCACTGTGTTTTTCTCAGTTGTGTAGTCTTGGACAGGGTAGGGCTTTAGGTATGTTCGCCTGACCAGCTCGAGTCCTGACGGTGACCACAGAGCTATAGTAAAGCACTGGGAATCAAACCACAACCATATTTAACACAGCAGGTACAATAAACAAGGCTTGTAAAACCTGTCATTAAACAGGGGATGAAAGAGGAAAGTACCTGCATAATAACAAATTAAAAGAACATCAATTTCTTTAAGTATCAGCCCATGACAGGTTAATGATACTGTGTTTGGATCTTGGAATTGGTGTTGTTCCCTTGTCATAACATATGACATCAAAACATGGCTAAGAATATGTGTTTGCAGCTAATTTGGTAATGACAGTGGGTAAGTTACTAATCACATTGTAAGAGACACCTCACATTGGGGCTGTTTTGTAAGCTAGCTGGTTTAAAGCCCAGGAAGAGACTTACGCCATGTTGTCCATATCTGTGGCACAAGCACCCACTGCCCTGGTTACGTTCACAAGCAGTGCCTGGTGAAATGGGACACATAAAGTCAACATGCATGGATCTACATAGAAACATGTTTTAAACAATAGATAAAATAAGAGAAAGTAACACATGCCTGGTTGGTTCCAGTGAGCAGGTTCACTAAGGACTTAATGCCTCCACACTTGCGGATGATGGCCTTGTTGGCAGGAATCTGGGAAAACTCTCCCACTGCTCCCACCACATTCACCAGGACTTCTTCAGGTTGATCGGTCAGCAGGTGAACAAGGGTCTCCAGGGCTTTGTACTCCTGAAACCTTTTAAGGATGGATATGCGTTAATATGAAGTATCATATTAACGTATAACTCCACAAAATATTTATTAGAGTGAACAAGAAACAATACAAACAGCTATGCCAGCAGCTCCAATAGCAAATAGATACACATGAAAATGCTAACATGCTGATGTACAACTTGTGCAATTGTTACCAACTGAACTTAAAACCCACTGAACAATCAGTTTCATTCCACAGACTGGTGTTGGAGCTTGCTGTCATGCTTGCAACCTAATTTGACTACGCAGGCACAATGTTGCTTGAGTTAATTACTAACAATTTTTAGGTCGACTTGTTTGCATGCAAATATTTTTCTGATCAGCACTGAATATAAAGTTGGTAAAGTTTTGTCAGAATTTCATTAGTTCTGCAGCTATTTGGTCACAAAACAAAGTATTTGGCAGGATGATGGCACAAGAAAAAAAATACTCAGTAGGTGATTGTAAACCCCCCCTGTGGAAAGTTAGGTTGAAAACACCCAATGTCGACCTTCTAATAGTAAGGAAGAGGGAACTGATTGCGCTTCAGCCCCTCTACAGGTCAGGCAGAATACAAAGAAATCATACTGAAGCACATGGATCACTTAAGGCAATTTATTAAAGTGCAATGGACTAACATTTCGACGCACACTACAACATAAAATAGTTCTAAGAAGGGTCACAATACTATTTTAGAGGAAAGTCACCTGGGAACCCTGGATGTTCACACTTCATTTATTGTCAGATTAACTGTAAAAGTCTGTGTTGTTTATTCTCGGGGGACGATACATGTTTGTACAATCTTTCATGGCTATCCAATACTTGATGTGATATTCATGTCTGGACTATGTCGCAGACCAACAGACAGACAAAACTGCCATCAATGGATTCACACCACTGGGTGAAAACGCCTTGAGTTGAGTGGGTGACAAGTTGCAGCTGCAGCATCCCGAGCCACATGGTCACAGAACTCTTACTGTAAGCCAGCAGAACAGGCAGGTTTCCCACGGCTGCTCACAGTTGTCCCTTGTCAGACTTTGCATAACCAAAGCTTTGCTGTGGCTTGGAAAAAACTTCCTCCCTCTTTTGCTGTGATCTTGACTTGTTTGCCAATGCTACAGAGTGGTAAACTATAGTAAACATTTAAAAGGGATATAATGTGGTTGCAGCAAACCTCAACAGACCTCTGATGTACTGTTAAGTTCTACGACTGTTTTTATTCGCAGTTACGGTTACTGGCATCAGGGTCCGTAAGCTATTGTAGATGGCTGGGGTCATTTGGTTTTGGTCCGCTTCACCAGGAACACGGCCTATTCTTGCAAGTGAAAACATTGCTAATGAACAGAGGAGCTGCCAAAGATAACTTCAGTGAAATGCACTGTAAAGAAAAACAATGGCTTTCCTATTCCATCGCTGAAGTGTCTTCTGTAGTTGCCTACAGTAGAATTATGTTGTAATCACAGACATAACTTTTGATAAACGAACAGTGAGGAATGCCTATTTTTGTTTAGCCAATCCCAGCTGAAGTAATTACGTGATGGCAAGAGCAACACTGCATGAAAAGGCTGGCCGGAGCAGCTTCTATTGCAAACACTGGAAGCTTATAAAAGCCTGTCAGAAGACACAGGAACCACAGTGGGGCTTCTGTGCGGGGGATTTAAATGATTGATTGCCTGCCTTTTCCTCTTCTCATTCTTCTACACTAGTTGCAAATTTAACTAAGTGCAGAAAGCTTAAATGCTGCCTTTTATAATAACAAGTGTCCTTAGGAGGACGCAAGTAGAAATAAGACATTTCAGGCACGCAGAAATGTGTAGCAATGACCATGAACACAGATGCAGTTGCGTATTTAACCTAAAATTGAACAGATTGCTCACAGCAGAGTGGTGAATAACTTGGATGAGCACATGCCTTTTCATAGTTAAGTATCATTTGGAGGGGCAATTATGGTGTGCTCATCCTCGGGCTGGAGCAGAGGTAAGATGGAGGGGTAGCCAGTAAATTGGAAGCGAACCCCACAATCTTGACCCCAAACATTACTGCGCTGGCACATACAGTCAGACTTGGCAGCCATTACTTTCCACTGCAAAGTTGTTCCCTCACTCTTATGTTTAGCACTTTTTTACAGCATTCCTGCGTGTCCTGAACACCTTGGTGTACGGGCTCAAGAGGCCACATGTTGATGCATCTATAAATCTGCAAAGAAAAAAGGCCCAGATAAAGCGCTCTCTGTAATATTGTAAGTCTGACAAAAACAAAAGCTTATGTGATCCTTAAACAAACACACTTAAGGTTTAAATGTAATTAAATTTCTGGGCATCAATCATCTCTCAATTTGATGCATCATTAATCAAGAAAATAGCTAACACATGCTGCTACTTGTCCTGAGTGGAGGTCCCCCCGATCTCTATAATGTCCAGACCACCAAAATCATCAGTCACATTTAAAAAAAAAAAAAAAAAAAGAAAGTCATGGTGTTTGCAGTGGGCAGAAAGGTCTGTTTCATTTGACCGGATTCTTGGTGATATAATAGAGGAGGGGCTTTTTTTTCTCCATTATTGCTGTAACATAAATATATTTTAAACAGATTTTCATCACACAGCCTGTGACTGGTTTTGAAGCAGGCCTGTGCCTCTAAAATGCTGTTGCCATTAGCAGCTTTTACTTTTTGACAGTAATGACTCAGCCACTTCTTCCCGAGCTTTTACTTGATCTAGACATTTTAAGTGATTTCAATAAGCCGGAGAGAAAATAACCAAACAGAACCACTTACACATTTAAGTAACTTTAAATACTTTTGACATGCATCATGTCATTGGCCCAATTTGAGTTTCATTCACACCTAATTGTACACATTGCCCCCCCCCCAAAAAAAACCCAGAAATTAAAAATGCAAAGCGAACCTGTCATACTAAGGTCCTTTGGTAAGATACCTTAATGACAGGTAAAATGAAAAGAGGGCAAGCAAAGTGTTTTTTAGTGTTTAAAACATGAACTGTCAGTAAACGTGGTTTACATGTGATTTATGGCATCATTATAATTATTTATATTAATATTATTTTTACTAGCAATGATAAGTATTTAACGTAGCAACAGTGTGACAAGTCATTAGGAATGGCAGAGAGTCACTGCTGGCTGAAAGTGTTTCAACATTACTCATGCCCGGTGCGGCTCATTTATTTTATCATCGATTGCCAAAACGCAGTCAGAAAGGTTCAGCCATTTATTTTATTTATTTAAAAGCCGCAGATTCAGATGTTTGATTCATCACTTTGATGTAACACTCTGTAGGTACAGCCATGTCACCACTGTTAACTGTTTGTTTATGATCATCCTTTTTTCACTACATTTCAGTAAATTAAACCCCCAAATGATTTCCTTTAAGGCTATTGGTTAAAGCAGCAGTGATCTGTCCTTCTAGCTTTAAAATAAATGTCATCGTCGAGCTTCTGCTCCTGTGAAGGAATCCTTACTTAACTCACTGTGGCAGCAGACACTGCAGTCCCAGTCAGGAGGACTTAACTTAGACTTTAAATGCAGGATATCATTCTGTCAGTTATGATGTATGAAGTGAAGAAAGATCCTTGTGAGTGCTACTGCTCGTTTTTCTTGTTATTTTTAGAATCCCACTGCGATCTGAGCCGTACAACGTTTCTCAGTCAGCAGAATATAATGTTTACATAATCCCACCTGAACAAAACAAAAGACTCATGTCATAAAAATGATTAAGAAACCCTTATCAGTGCATGTGGCTACATCGGTGGAATAAGGTTCTTAATTGATAAACATGTTGCCATGGTGATAAATGACTGCATGAGGGTTATATACATTATGCCCCTGGCCTCAAACTGAATAAGAACATAAATACCACTTAATCATTCCTCAAGTGGAAATGTATGTGGCTGCCAAGGCACAGTCTCTGGGCATTATTTATATAAGAGGGAAAATCACTGATTTTAAAATCATCTGACAATAAAGAACAAGTCAAAAACCATTCACACTACTGAAGGAACCAGGCGAAATGACACTCAAATAAACTCCTTCGCCTTACATGACAAATGATTAAAGGCTCTGCCAGCCTGCGTCCTCTGACATTAGAAAACCACCATCTCTTTGCAGATTCGTGCAGTATGCCTATACGTCTGATTTTACACACGCGGGCCTCGACTAAACACATCAACTGAAGTCTATAAAGTCAGCACATTGACTTGAGCTTTTGTGAACGGTGGAAAAGATTTAATTCAAGCAGCAAACACTCTCATAAAAGTTCAGAGCGAATAGAATCCGTGCAAAAACTTTACATTTTACGCAAATAATCACTTCAACCAGACAAAATGGTAAAAGAAGGGGGAATATGACAATAGCATGTGAGTGGAAAAAGTGACACAGCTTTTGATGAATGAAAACAGTCCCCTATTAAAGTAACATATGTGATGATGGCATGACAACCACAATGCACACACGTTAGTTAAACCCCTTCTTGCTGTACGGGGTTCTGATACTGTAAGACTGCTGCAAAACCAAGTCATCTTTTCAAACATATTTCAAAAAGAAATGAGCTCATGAGGGTGAAATTCCTCTCTGACCCCCTTATTCACTGATGCTCATTAGCCTGCTATTTTGAGTGATTTATCAAAGTCATTCTCGTCTGTTACCACTAATTGCAAACACACAGTCATACAACCCAAAATATTCTGCTACAATGCGTTTTTGTATCTCTGGCATGTTCAGTTTGTGTGTGTGTTAATGAGAGGTAGCACAGTGAGGCCCGGCATACTTAGCCACATTCTCCACACTGATGGAACACTTCCAGATGGCCCCCGTCGCAGCAGCCAGGAGCTGCTTGTTGTCTGACTTGCTCAGCAGAGAAACCAGCGGTTGCAGACCTTTATACCTACGCACGAGGTCACGAGTTTGTTTGTCCTCTGCACACTGCAAAACAAAAGGAAGGGGGCGAGAACGCTGTTCATTTCTACAGGCTGGATTGAATGAGGAGAGAAGGAACAAAGAAAAACGTTCATGCTTTAGGTCCTTGTTTTAACTATTCTGTAAAACAAATAAAACAGACGCTAATTAAGAGCACCACTGGGAAAATGTGTACCTTGAAGATTGCACTGGCACAATGCATTTGAAGCTCATCGTTGTCACTGCTCAGGTTCTTGACCAAATCCTTGATCATGCCAAGAGACTGAATGGAAGTCCTGTAGCTTTCCTGCAATCACAAAACAATGTACAGACACTGAGAACATCAAATAAAATACAATCTCAACTCACCTCATCAAATTTGGTTTCATACTGTTTTCATTTTTTACCCTAACATGTTATAATGCTGTTTTATCCTTAGACATTTTTGTGTATTTCCTTGAGTATGAATCATTGTTCCTATTCTTCAATTATTTTTCAGACTTTGATCTTTTATGAATTGTTTGTTTCTTATTGTGCTGGCTAGGCCTTCCTTCAACACTTTGTAACTGCTTGTACATTGTATTGTACATTTTTTCCGCCCTAAGGACAAAAAATATTTACAAAAAGCACGCTCTGGTTGACACAGGAATAAGAAATACACAGTTTAGGTTGCATACACAGAACAGGTAAGTAGATTTCAATTCACTGTTGACAATAATTATAATCAGCCTAATCCTTTCAGAGGAATCTCATGTTGTCCTTTAGAGTCATCTGTGTTTAATTACATGTAAAATTATTTGACCACTGGTAAAACAATAAATACAAAATAAAGTGTGTGCCCCCCTCACCTCTGAGGCACACTCCTGCAGGGTGCCAACCACAGGAATAAGCATGTTCTCATGTGGAGACTTGAGCAGGCGTCCCAGCAGAGGGATCCCATCGGCCTTACTGATGGCTACCTTGTTCTTTGTGCTTTTGCTGCAGCTCCACAGAGCCAGAGCCCCACAGCGAGCTACCTCTACATCTTTCTGCTGGTGTGCAGTCAGGTTGGCTAAATCTGGGACACAGTCCAACAGCTTTACCTGCACACAGAAACAAGAGGGCCAGATTTAGAAGTGGATAAACACAAACATGAAAATGAGAGCAAACAAGCAGGCAGACCACACGTGCTTAGGCATAAAACTTACACACATTTATTCAAACTCTCTGAACTTGACATACATTCAAGGAGTCTGAAAGGTTTGCTTGCAGGATCGGAGTGATAATGGATGGTTCCAGATGGGAAAAGCAGGTTATTTGCTGTGATTAAGGGCGTAATTAAAATTCTATTACCAGTGGGTCTGCAAGGATGAAAAAGCCAGAGATGCTAGGAGTGGAAAACTGTCAGGATAGATGTTGATGTTAGGTTTGAAAAGCCCAGTGTGACGGTTTATGGACATCATTCAGTGTTCTAATCCATAGTTCCTGGCCAATGAGACAGAGCAGGCAAAGCTATTACACACAGCATAGTTCAAAGGTGGTCTCGTAGCATAGCGTGAAATTAATCTGCCTCCGTGAGTGACTTGCACATGAGAACATCCGATTTGGAGCTGAGGAAAATATACAAGGCATGCAAGCTTTAATCACAGGGCGTTCTGTCAACAAACATGCATGCAGGTCAGAGGATGTAGAGGACATTCTATCTGTTTTACCCAAACGCCCACTCTCCTGTGGCTGAAAAAGGACAAACGGGCCACTTTGAACAGTGAAAGGGGCACAAAAAGGTAATTGATTTGCCGTGCATCAAAACCTAGTTCTGCAAAATTTTGACTCTGTGTTTTAGATTTTCAACAAAACAGTAATGATAATATGGGGATCCCATTTGAAAAGGCACCATCCTGTTTTTCCACAGCTTCTGAGGCACTGTGGTTTAATGCAAAATGTTAGTACTAAATTTCAGAGTTGCTGACATAGACATAAAAAGACATGTTATTTAATGGAAAGTATGCCACCGTAGGACATAACATTCTTTCATTCATCCCTTTAAGACAGATCAGGGACTTTTTTGCATATTATCTCTGTATCTACACAACTTTGGAATCATAGAAACTTTAGCTTTTTTTTTACTCTACCCACCAGTTTTTGGATGCCGCCATATTGCCTGACAGTTCTCCTTGCTCTGCGAAATCTTGAAACATAAGCGATGGTCTCGGCTGCTAACGCCTTGAGGTCCTTGACAGGAGAGTCCAGGATCTTCACAATGCTCTGCAGGCCTCTCATGTCAACGATGGCCCGACGAATTTGCACGTTGTGACTTATTTTTCTCAGGATTTTCAATGATCCAATCTTAAAGCAAACATTAAAAAAATTATATTACAATATGTGAACAGTAATTCAGTGTAGTATAGGTTTGTTTTATGTAACAACAAAAAAAACTGTTGTGTTTATGCAAACATCAGGCTTCAATCTGTACAGAGTGTTCATACAGCGATATCTAATAACCAACAACCCACATTTCTACTAAAAATAGAAGGGACAAAAAACCATAATAAAATGGGGGTTAAAATGCACCCACATGTGATTAGGCACACTGAAGAATAATTGCTACCCTGTGTCTTGAAACGCACGCTCTCTAACCAACATTCATGTTTTTGTTACTAGAACACAGGCGGGCACACACAGCAGGCTCAGCGTATGCCTGCAGGCCATCCAGGTTCAGCTCTGGCTCAGCTACTCACTTTGCATCTGACTTCATTTGTATCCAGCAAGTTAAGGAGGACTTCAAGGCCACCTACATCCCGGATGGCCAGTTGGCACGTCTCCTGCATCAAATTTAAGTCCATCATGTGGACCAGAGTGAGCACAGTGGCGGTCTGGTCGCCTCCCTGAATGAATGAAATAGAGAGACCAAAGGCAGCAGGGAGGAGAGAATTAGACATTAAGCAGACTTTTAAAGAGAAAAGGGAGGAGGATGCAAAACCTCCCCTCAATTACACCAACCTTTCTCTCCATGTGTTGTTCCCCCACATGATACCACTCCTGCTGCCGTTGTTTTGTTTGTACCAGAGTCTGGCAAGTGTTAAGCGTAGAAAGGAAATGATCAAACAGAGCACCGAGCTCTGACAACGCTGCCAACCCAAAAGCCATTAGACAATGACCCTTAAACGAAATAGCACACTATTTGCACTGAAACCCTGAAACTAATGATGAGTTGGCCTTTTTAAAAGCAGAATCTGTTTTGACAGTTGCTACATGCTCACATATTCTAATAGCCCTGCACCCTAGTGATTACCAAGTGAGTAACTACAACACTCCAAGGACAACATGTGCAGTGCTTCAAATTGAAACAGCTTTGCATACATTTGGCAGAAAACTGATTAGGTTTTATGGCCACTTAGTGACAACGTGTTCACTAAGAAAACAAACAATACAGAGATTTAAAATTGGGCATGTGTGTGGTCAAATCCTGACTTGTGCAGCCGTGGCAGAACTTGACTTCTGCTAAAGTTAGCTTCCCAATACTTTTTATATTTTGTCAAGTTCTCCTAACACTGCATAAATCCAAATAAATGTCCAGGCAGTGGATGGGTGTTGACAGCGTTATGGCACCTAAAATACCAGTCTTAAGGTCCCAAGCAGGCAGTGATGGTGTTTTTCCTGCTACCATATTTAGCGTGTATCATCAGCAATTGCACAACTCTGTTGGCAGGCAATGGATCCGATCACCAAAAAAGAGGGGAAAAAATCATAGCAATCAGATAAAACAGAAGCCAATGGCACAACATGTAACAGTTAGCTTCTGTAATACAAGACCTGTTACATGGCTTTGATATGTGATACTGAAATGTCCATTGAAAAATCTCCTGGCAAGTGAACAATCAAATGTTTTTCACTTTTCACAGTGGCTTCATGTGCTACAGATAGAGTTCCCGACTTGAGATTCAAGGCTGCATCTAACTCTCAGAGCTTCATATCCTTTATTAGTTGCACACTTTGCAAATAATTTGAGACTTCAGGAACATCCTAAGTAGATTTTTTTTTTAACCAGTCATAAAAAGGTTACATGCCATGCGATCAGCAACTCATATAAGTAGAAAATAGCCCATAGCTATACAGAAGAAGGGAAAGTAATCTGTTTCAGGCAACCGTTGGCAGTGGCTGGCTCATCAGTGAAGAACTATGCCACAGACTCAAGTGGTGTTTGATCATATCTCCCTCACAAAGCAGTGCTCTGACACAGCAGGAGAGCAGACACATGTGTTCTCCATATAGTGATGCGAGCCTAAATGTGAACCATTTGCCCATTAACAGCAGTGGATCCACTGCTTCCTTTGTGTCCTCCGTTTTCACTCTTCAAAGGATTCAGCGGGTGAGGTTCGTACCTTGTAAAAACAACCCCGACAAAAAAAAAAAAGGTATGTTTAGGAGTGATAGCTGGGAGAACAGAAAACAGATCATGTGCTTTCATTTTCTGTTAGCTCTGCTCTTGAAGCACTGTCGACATTCTTTTAAACATTGAGAACATCTGACGATCTTTTATGGTGAGAGATATTTGACTCACTGTGCATGATAGGGGCAGATGCTCAAAGTGGAACCAATGCAACCACTATTCGACCCCCGAACATAATACGACTCAGAAAGTGTTTTGGCTGGCATATTCTGTAAGCCATGACCTACAGGCATTTTCATAATTAATATGAAATACAAATATTAAGTTGACTTCTTTTCACATGTTGGGTATGAGGAAACATGGTCAATAACATGGTGAATTGAGGGCTTTAACAAACCAGAATAAATCTTTACATGTTTGCCTCATAAACCTAAAGGAGTTTCCACTTGTCAAGACATGAGCTACTGCTAACAGCAGAGGAAATTGAACCAACCAATAGAAAACAAGACTGAAAGTTGTTCATGTGTCGATGAGGGGGAATTGCAGGATCAAAACCTGATATATAAAGAATGATCTAACTATAGCTACGCGTGAATCGCAATGCAAATAAGGTCAGAAATTAACACCTATTGTGTCCCTCAAGCGCACTGTACTGAAGGTAAGTCCCTGGAGCAACATCCTGAAGTCAGAGTGATGGGAAAAAAACAACACAGCTTGGTCAACAATCAAAAATAATATCCACCTTGTGACTTTAACCATTTCACTTTTTTTTACCATTAGTTGCACTTCAATTATTGAGCTGAATATCAGATCAGCAGCTTAAAGATGTTTTTCTTATTCTGTCTCTTTACTACAGGTGTCTCAGACTGCAGCTGACTGGATTGTGTAAACTCAGTCTGCCCTCCCTGTTACTTCACACAGTATTCAGCATGTTGGAGCAGAGATGGGGTTAACCTGGCTGTCAGTGATGCCCTGCTAACCTTCCATACTAGGCCCCTATTCCTCGAGACGGTTTGTGCAGGTGTCTGGCTTGGATTTGATCCAGCAAGGGTTAACATACATATTATTTATAAGTGCAGAGATACACAAGAATGTATATCTTCCATGCTAGAATTGTGACAGGTGGCCACTCCGAACACGTCATAGAGATCTAGAGAGCAGGTATTGGCAACGAGGTCTCGTACTTCTGCTAAGAGCAGACACAGAGGGAAGGCTGCAAATGAGAAGAACCAACACAGCCTGCATGAATATATGGAAGAAGTGCAGAGACATAGTGAATAATTACTGGTTTGTTTTTCTCTTTGACTTAGAATCTCATATAACATAAAAGTCCATGTCGGAGTTAAGTCTGTGAAATGATAGGTTGCTAAAGAATGAAATTATGTAACTAATTTTTGCCAAATCAGACATGTTGTTAATGTATTATAAGCACTAAAATGAATCATTTTAATTGATTGATGTAAAATATCTAAAGTGCCTGACTACTTAGAGCCTAATTATCTACATATTTTTGAGAAAATGAGCTGATTCTGGCTCGAGTTCACTGGAGACAGGATTAGTGTGGAGCTATTGAAAGGAATGTTTCTCTCTGGAGGAGCGCTGGGCTGTAGTACTGTTACTGGCCAGCAGAGGGGGAGCTACCTTAATGAGGGCTGAACACAAACCATGTGTGTGAAGGACAGCTCAGTTTGTTTGTGTTAACTACTTCTACACTGAAGGTGAATTTAGAGCCAAAGGAAAATATTTTTAAGGTTATGAACAAAATTTGCACAGATTAAAAACTTTCTGGTAACTCCACTTTTCAGGAAAGATTAGAAAAGAACATTGTGTCATTAGAAAAAATGTAAATATTCAAAGAGGAAGTTATGAAAATGTTTACAACACGCATTATTCAAATGTTCATATGTTAAGCAGTAACATGTTTTTTATTAGACAAAATATTTATATTTATGATGAAAAATGTTTAATGTTTAGAAAAATATGAGCAGATATAATCGACGGCAGCTGAGGAATTTCATCTTCATCTAAACAGACACAACACTGAAAGAAGATTTTATAACTTGGAGACTAAATTTACCATGAGGAGTTTTTTTATCCTAACTAGAAACCTTTTAATCAACAAAGTTCAAACTTAGTTAGATCTGTCTAGTCTGGTTTCCATTCAATTTCAATGTCATGCTTTTTATGACTTAAATTCTCAAAACTGTATGTGTGGGGCGCTGGTGGAGCAGTAATTAGTGCGTGTATCGAGGCTATAATCCTCCAAGCAGGCGGCCCCCAGGTCATTCTCCTCTCTCTCTTCCTGATTTCCGGCTCTATCCACTCTCCTATCTCAAATAAAGGCACAAAAAGCCCAAAAAAATACATCTTAAAAAAAAATGTGTATGTGTCTTTGCAGCCTTGTTTATTCCCTGTATGAAGAAGCTTAAGCTTAATATTTGGTTATTTGTGATGCCCATTCCATGTCTAAAGATTTTTTATGGGCTGGGAAATTGGAAAAAAACACTTTCTGCACTCTCTTTAAAGTAGATTCTTAAGATTTTAGTTTTTTTTTTAAATATATTACATACTTTATGAAATCCTGAGGATCTGTGAACACGCATCAATAAAGAGATGTCAGAGTTGGGTACACAGCACACCAGAGCTGTTGGAGATTCGGTGCCTTGCTCAAGGGAACCTCATCAGTACTTGGGAAGTGACCTGGCATCCGTCCAGCAACCAGACCAACTTCTATATTTCGGTCCAGAACGGGACTTGAGTCGTGGACCTTCCAGTCCCCAACTTAAGTCACTACAGACTGAGCAAGTGCTGCCCTTGGAAAGAAGTGTCCTTTTTTTAACACACTAATGCAGCCCTGGCACAGGAACAATGTTTTCAAGTGCTTTATGCCTTATGACTATATTAACATAATATAGACGGTTAGTATAAGACATAGACCAACTGTAGAAACTCTTTCATCTCTAATCTGCATGCCATGTAACATGGTACAGATCTCCAGCCATACAAGTTTAAAAACAAACACAACAAAGCCCCAGGCAAATATCCCTACATAAATATCATTAAAACACAAAACAGAACATACATGTGTCGCTTTATGAAAGTGTTAAACTTCCTCGAGTACAAACGGCTGTCTATAGTGCGGGGAAAGGAGGGAAAAAAGATCTCCTCCTAAAATAAAACAGATATTTAACTTGGCTCAGGGTGAGTTTCAGCGTCTGATGGTAATGATATTATAAAATGACTACTGGACAAACCCCATAAATAACTGTGCTGTGCGGTTTCCAGACAGATAGAAAAGCAGGGACATGTTGGTAACTGCCCTGCTGCATCTTGTTGAAGCAGGAACATACACATCCCATATACCACAATCACACTGAAAGGAGATCATGTGAAAAACACTCGCCATTTCTTTATTTTTTATTTGCCTGTTTCATGTCATTTCCATCGTCTTTTTCCTTTATGGAAGAAATATAAGCCTGCACTTAGAGTGGGGATTTCCTTCTATTATATTCCCTTTTGCTAAGCTAAAAAATATAAACCTAGAGTTGGACTTTACAGCAGTGTTTTCTGTTTAAGATTAACTCTGATGCACTGTGAGAAATCAAATGTAATGTGGACTATTGTTGCTTATTTAAAAATAAACATTAACATGCTTAAGATGTGTTAGGTTGCAGCAGCATTGAAAGAATTCTGCTGTAAAGTCAAATAAAGTAAATGCAGCCTGTAAATATAATGTGTGTGAATGATAGTGTCCAGATATATAGAGATAATAGAGATGACTGAGTAAGGTAGAGTCATCTCTGAAGTGGTTTTAGGTATTCCCAGCCAGTCTGGCTCATTGGCGTTTCTATTCTCTTTCCTTTTCTTCTGTGTTTTGACACATTAATATTCACCATATGCCCTGTCAGACCTATCACAGGGAGTGCTTCATATGTATGCTTCTTCTGCGGTGTGGGCAAACAGTGCATACAGCTGCTGCCGTCAGACAGCTCTCCTCCCCTGTGCTTTGGCTCACATGTGAAACCAAAAAGAGGCCCGTGTCAGACGCCAGGAATCCACAAGAGGAGTCAACCACTTCAATAAGCATCGTCCTACAAAGCGCCACCAAAAATTGGTAGAAACCTATGCATCACTTTATCTGACATCCTTTTCTTGACTAATCAGAACCTTGATATGACTGAAGCAGGGCCCACAAGTGGGATTATAATGATGCCAGCCATGTCCGGACTACTAGACTTAATTTTCCATGCATTGAAATCCTGAAGAGTTTTTGAAAAGTTAAACACAGACTTGGGATAGCATTAAAATTCTTGTACAGATGACAGGAAAGAGCCTGAGCTTTATTGTTTCCTGTCTGTTGTGGTCTGCCTTCACCTGCAGGAGCTCTCTGTACAGATCAGTATTTTGGGATGAGCAGAGGAGGAACAGCAGTGTGCAGTGAAGTATCTGCTCACCTTGAGGTACTTGACCAGTTTCTGGATCTGCCAGTATTCAGACGGCAGATCGGTGTTGCTCTCTGGACGGCGCTCGGGCTGCTCCTCCTCCTCCTCACTCTCAGATGAACTCTCACTGAAGGCATCAACTTGCATGGCTCCTGCTGGGGTCTTACTGAGCAAAGCAGAGCAGATAGTGGTGCACTTAAGACCTCAGATAACGATCTACAAAGGTGCAGGATAGTGTAACAACTAGACAATACACAACCAGACAAAGGGAATGGAATACAATATCACAAAATCTCTTTTCCTGTGTTTGAAATGGAAAGAACAGATTGGTCTTCCCACACAAGAAGACTCATCAAAGACTTTGAAATTCTAGTGTCAAGTGTTCTGACTTCCTCAGAAATTTAGCAGCAGGAAAGTAAAGATTGGAATAATGTCATGGGAGGACTGGATCAGTCATTAAACGCAGAGCAAAGACTGGATGCAAACAAATTTGCAGATGGCTTTTTAGAGTTGCTGCGGCCACTTGGATAACAGGATCATGAAAATGGTGCACTGTGGAGCAATGAAATTTGGTACGCATTCAAATGGGGCCGCTGAGAGACAGTTTCCATGTATGTACAAATAGCATTGCCAGGGGAGCTTAATATCAGAAGAAGCCAGCCGTTATGAGCGAATGTTTTCCACAAATCAACATGATAAACACTGAAGAAGAAAAGGCCTCTATTCTGAGTGAAGTGCATGATTGTGATTGAGTGAATGCACCCCGGGTCTTTATTGCCTTTACACTAAGTGATGAGCAGTAAAGAATGCTATCAGTAAACAGTGGTTGGCGTCAATTTATGATGCTACCAGCGTGTGTATATGTTGGAAAGTATTTGGAGGAGAGGAAGAATACCTGCCAGGAGCACAAGGAAGAAAAAGCTTCTTCAGGGTTTTGTTCTTTTTTCAGGTTATACTTACAACAACAAACTCCAAGAAAAAAAAAAGCATTTAGTACTTCATATCAGCCCCTGAATCTCATACAGGTTAAGGTATCTCCTCCAGTTCACCCTGAAGAATTCCTTATAGACTCTGACAAGAGGGAAGATCATTTAAGACACTTACATTTTCTTGTGGGAGGACAGGCGTAGGACAGGTAAAGAGGACACCGACAACTCTGCTTTCATCTTGCTCTTGGCTCCGAGTGCCGACTTTTTCTTCTGCATTTCACCAGACTTCTCCTCTCCAGAGCTCTTACTGGTTTTCTTTTCCTCTGCTTTACTATAATGATGTGAAATAAGAGTCATTATGCCTACTTCTATTTTGAAAATGGTTATTTTTCTAACATAATCATTATTTAACAACATGAGACAAGGGTTCAGCTGGCACTTTTTTTTCAACTGAGATACTTTCATCTTCAGCCAGTTTGTACTCAAATGGGTACAGTTATCACAAAGTGCAGCTGCAACAGATCAGCCCATGCTAGATCTATTTATCAATCAAAGACCATATGTGATAGATCATTTGGGGATTTCTTCTAAGACTTTTTCCCAAGATTTCTGTCTGAAATTGAGCAGAAAGGCTTTCAGCACAGCTAACGTATTTATTAACTGAGATCAATGTATAATTAGGAATATTTGCAGTTACCCTGACATTTATAAGCATTATAAGCATGTCTTTTCTAATGTGCAGCTGCTAACGGACACACTGAGCACGTGTGTCGAAGGCTTGGCAAAAATATCATCCACAGCTCATGCCGTTAACAAGAGGGACCCCCACCAGAGCGTAGATCGAGCCCCAAACCGACCCAAGCCTGTGCACGATGTCTCCTGACCCGTCTCATTAACTGTATTTATGGGCCGAGCCCGACTAAAATCAGATTTTTTTTTATAAATTGGAATTTATAATTAAAGTTTGAAGTTGTTTGAATGACAGATCCTGGCCAAACCAGCTTCAGGCTGTGGGCCAAGTCGGGCCGGGCTCACCTCACACATTAGGCTTTAGTCTGAAGATACTCATGAAGGGACTTATTACTTACCCACATGGAGAAATCAGACCAAGATTCCTCCACCTCGGACATGGTTCATATTTCTTCTTGCCGCCTGCCTTGTACGGCGCGTGTTGTCTCCACTTCTCATGCACATTCTTTTCCTGTTGCTCGTAAGACCTCTGGGGTTGGCCTTGTTCCTCCACATCAACCGATTCCACATGCTGGATCTTTTGTGTTGATGGAAGTTCTTGAGCTGCAAAATCCTGTTGGTAAGTGGAAAAAGACAAAAGCTGCAGAGTGAGGAGAAAGTCCTCTTTCAATTCGCACCGAAGTTCTATTGAAGTGACATACAATAAATGTCGATTTACAACCAGATGTTCAAGTGGTATACATTTTTCTGATTGATGCTTGTGAAGTATAGTCATTCTGATGTTCGCTTTACATTTTTGTAAGGATGTGCCTTTTATTTTCACTAATCATCTGACACGATGGTTCACTCTTCAATGTTCAGACTCAGTGTCAGCCATTTCACTCCAGCAGAGGAATCAAATAGAGAACAATATCAGTGACACATGAACAACATAAAATTCACATAAAAGCCTTGTGCAGGCCTGCACAACAGTCCAGCCTTTAATACGTACTTGGAATAAAATCACACTTCTTCCAATGCTTTACATAAACGACGTTCCCCTGTGTTGATTGGTTGAACAATATCAAAAGTTTATTGTTGCTGCACATTCCTCAACCTAAAAGTCTGCAACTTGGCACTGACAAAATAACGCCTTTGTGTCACTGTTATTTAGTATTTTTTAAAGTTTTGGAGGTCTTTCTTTCAAATTTAACAACCTATACATGGATGCCAATAAGACACATATGAATGGTTTGCAGGCAGGAGAGTTTTTAATCACAGACACCTGCTCTGCAGAGAAAGCTCAGACTGTCATTGTTTGTTAGGAGCTCAACAGTTTTTAAAGGCAGAGGAAAAAGAATTAAGATGTATTTCTATGGCTTGTGTTCACGCGCAAGCTGGAGCCAAGCGAGCCTAATCACTTTTCCAAGGACTTGTTTTTTTTTTTCTAAAACACAAAGTGACCTGCTATTGGAAACATACAAGTCAATTCACCAAACCACAGACCCACAGTCTGACTTTATTAGGCTAACAAACCTCCTTTAATTCTATTATATGTGAAATGGACAAAGTCCATGCGCTTACACAGGAGGGAACACTCCAAATTCCTTGACATGCCACAGTAAAAAGTCCTATTACAGGTGCCTTTCTGAGGGTTTTTTTTTTATGGCAAGCAATTGAGAAGTAAAACCTTTATTTTTGTATTTGTCTTTATTTTCCGAGCATTTGACTAATAAATCCTAAAACTGTTTGCATATGTTTGTGGTAGACTTGTGTCTAATGACTTAATCCATACTCATAGAAAATCAGGGCAGCAAAACCATCAGCCGTAAAACATCTGTCAGTGGCAAGATTCAAGAGGTCTACTGACTGATTATGACAGTGAGACAGTCCATATTAATTTCAGGAGGTGAATAAGGAAAACAAATCTACAACCAAGGGAGTTCTCTGCTTGACAGGGAGCATTTTGTGCATGCAAATACGCAGCATGTCCAATTTCCAATCACGCTGTGATGTCAAAATGAATCCTCAACACTGAGCAGAGGAGGCGAGTTTGCTTCCTCCAGTGTTGCAGCCCTTGACTCCTCTGGCTGCCTCTGCTCGTTTGATTGAGGCTGTCTAATCTAATAAAAGTGTTAAAAAAAGACCTGCTTCCTCACAGTGGGAATACGCTCAGATATGTCGGGAGATTAGGTGTTGTTATCTTTGGCTATCGCCATCCAAGTTCAACACTCTGAGTTGCAATCAGGGAACTGAGCTGCAGCTATGCCAAACTGTGTTTCTGACAGACACCGCAGATATCAAACTTTACAAAATTACAACTGGAAACAATCATATCAAGAATGAATACAATTACTTCATATCTCAGAGACAGGATGTTTGATTGCTGTCATCAGAAATCAATCAATTGAATGTGAAAGTGTTGTGTTTAAAGCTGACAGCATCATGTGAAGATGATTGGCTCGAGTAGAAGATGAGAGAGAGTGAGAGTGAAACTTCAGTGTAAGAAGACTGGGAGGGGAATATCAAAGGAGCGAAAGAATCCAGAAGACAAAGACTCCGAATGATTTGTGCCTCCTCAAACTGCTTCACATCAACTTTTTACTGCAGCTGTCCATCACTTTTAGGTTGTTCAGACTCAGGGCATCAATCTTCACACACTTCTCATAAAACATAAAAGCCTGACTGTCTTTTTTTACACAGTTCAGACTGGCACTACTCATCTGTTTATTCAACCCTTTACTTATTGCATTCCATATTACTACAACACCTTCAAGTTGATCTCCTACTGCAGAAGAAATCACATCGACTAAACGCACCTTAACAGATTCTGGGAAAAACAATCGATTCGATTAGAAAGAAAACAGTTTTAGCCTTTATAACTTTAAAGAAGCAGGCAGTGAGTAGTTGTTTCTTTAAAGGCAATAGCGAGCGTGTGATGATGCTATATTCTGAGTGAGAAAAACAGATCACATTTTGAAAAGCTGAACAGATTTTTGGCCGCAGCTGGAATCTATTATTGAAGTGATACGTTAAGTCGTCAAATCACTACTGAATAAATCACACATTGTTCAATGTCTGGTAGTGTGTGTGTGTGTGTGTGTGTGTGTGTGTGTGTGTGTGTGTGTGTGTGTGTGTGTGTGTGTGTGTGTGTGTGTGTGTGTGTGTGTGTGTGTCTGCATGCGGTTGTCTGTGTGCTGAGGGGGTGTGTGTGCTGGGTGGGATAGTGGTTGTGCTGTTTTGATGTTGGCAACACGGAGGAGGTCGCTTCAGGAATTTTTCAGCACAGTGACAAGCAGACACTAGCTCACTGGTGTAGAACAGCACAGACACTGATTACACAATCCTAACTGTGTTTACGAATATGAGTCACACAGCACTGGAGATCAAATCAGAGGTTTTGAGAGAAGGACCTTGTTCATGAAACAAAGATGCATTTCAACACCCACACAACCAAGACCTGAATGTTAAAATTCAAGGCTACATAAGGAGGTCTTCAGGTGTCACTGAATGCATCTGCCTGTATTTCACTGTACCTGCTTGTTTATGTGTTCAGCAAAATGTGGAGATCGATTATTCAGAAGAGTAACCAGGTCTTTGTAGATATCACTTGTTCGCTCGTAGCCACCCTCCTCCCCCTCCTGTTTTATGCGCTGTGAAAACAAAGTGAAAAACAGCTTCATTAATTCTAAAAACCACAATTATAATGTGACCCACATGTCAGCTGGAAACAGCTGAACTTTGAAGGCTCAGAGTATCTCCAGGCAGCCTCAAAGAGGAAGTGTAAAACCATGTAAACCGCTAAATTAGATGTAAGACACTGCTGCTCATTGAGGTTTCATTTGCATCAATGTCAACCATTTGGTGTAAGGTTGTAGTTTTTCCACCGTAGCCCAACCGCTTCCAGGTGAAGAAACAGAAGCAGGAAACCTATGGCTTGTCAGCAAAGTCACAGAAAGAGTGAAAGCTGCTGCAGCATGCAAAATCCCCTCTTAGAAATGATTGCAAACACATTTGATGAAGAGTATACGGGAGCTCCACGTCTGTCCATGCAAAAGCACACTTAGGGGAACACTGAAACCCTCTATATTTGATATTTGCATGAAACTAATTTAGGACATATTCATAAACATAATTTAAAACTTTGAGCAATAATCTGTTACTTGATCATAATCAAGAACATGGGCTTGTTTTACTCATGCTACGAACTTTCCTGATGTAAAGACACTTAAAATCGCATTAGAAAACATCAAGCATTGCAATCTGATATCTTCCACTTTTTTTTGTCTTTACTGGGTGATGGTGATGCACGTGCCTATACTGGATGTAAAGATGTTATATGTAATGTAAGACTACTCTTTGTTTTATTACTGGGTGTGGTAATCTTGTAGACCACTGTACTTTGTTTAAATATGGTACGCCTTCCAGCTGGAACGATGCACAGAGAGACTCACAGCTGTCAGAAGAACTTAAAGTGAACTCAGATCGCTTTGAAATGATCGACAGAAAAGCACTCTCGGCCAATTCCTTAGCTACTATAAATACACTGTTTTCAACTTATACTGAAAGTTTGGGAAACTCATAGATGTCGTTAAGCAACTTACGGTATATTGTTAGTACTATTTTTTAGCGTGTGATGGTCTATCTTATGTAATGCTGCAACCTTCTATTATTCATCTTTTTATTTTTTTTTAAGATTTATTTTTTGGCTTTTTGTGCCTTTAATTAAGAGATAGATCAGTGGACAGAGTCGGAAACCAAGGAGAGAGAGAAAGAGGTGAATGACATGCGGGAAAGGAGACACAGGTGGAACCCGAACCTGGGCCGCCCTCCCGGAGGACCACAGCCTCCACATATGGGACGCGCGCACTAACCACTGCGCCACCAGCAACCCATGATTTTTCTTGTTATCTTAACAAACCTTTCTGTGGTCAAACACAAGAAATGTGGCGATTTATTGAGCTGAACAAATTCTTGAAGTAGCTTGAGGGAAAAATTCAGAAGTGACATATTCATATTATTTGTGTTATCTATTTGGAATAATAGACGTTGGGCTGTTTTATGAAGTTAAGACTAGATAATTAAGACTGAACTGCCTGGGGCGCCGGTGGCCTGGCGGTTGCTTCCCGCTCCTCAGAGCAGGCGGCCTGGGATCGGGTCTGACCTCTGGCTCCTTTCCAGCATGTCAATCCCTACACTCTCTCTCTCTCCTCGAAAACAGCTCTATCCACGTTTTCTCAAACTACAAACCAAACATACAGTGAAGAATTTACTGCCATTTACCTGACTGTGCAATAATGAATCGTCCATCAGAAATTATTTGGTGGTAAGTTATCTCCCCAAAATATAAATATATCATATATTTCATTTCTGTAAGAGCTGATGTAGTCCACAGGGCGTTATCAACCTTCTCTTACCCCATTAAGAAAAACTCCAGCAGTGCTGTAGGTGATGTAGAGAGTCTCAGCGTCACAAGGCTCGATCACAAGGTAACAAATCTCCCCAAGCACCTGTCTCCACGGGAGGGCACGGCAGCCATTCGAAAATTCATATTCTAAGAAGAAAACAAGAAGAATAAGTTGGCAGTTCTAACAAAAAAAACTTTACATTATATTGTGTTGCAACTTATTTTACAAAGGTAGAGGTAAGCAGGGGAAACATAGACTTGTAGTACTCCAGCCAGCTTTTAAAATGTAGATTTATTATCATACTTTAAGATTAGTTTTGTTTATTTGATGTTGTTTTTTGTATTTTTTTTCATATTCAACCTGAGAAAGACCTTTTGGTATTCACATGCAACTGCTTGCTTTGCATGGCATGATAAAAAAAAGAAGCTAAATAGATTCCCTGACTAATGACTCGTTGAACTGGAATCAGACAGATATAATGACTTCCACTGTTTAAGCGGCGGCAGAATGGGAACCTTTTTTCATGCTGTGGAATATCCAGCCTTAGTTTTAAAAGCAATTGCTTTCCCTACAACCCAGTGAAAAGTGGAGATAATTCAAACCTGATGCGTATCGAACCGACTTCAACGCTCTCTTTTCTCTTACACTGCAGAAACGTCTCAACAGCTCCACTTCATTCTTCACTGCGGTGGGGTCCAGGCTGACTTGTCTGTGATAAAAATGGAGGAAAACAAAACAAGACAAACATCTAATTCATCTCACTCACTGATGGTTCCTTTTCTGAAGCACAGTGACAATTCCAATTCAAAACTACAACATGTCTCTGTCAAAGTGGAGAGGTCTTAATGAAAGAGGACAGCCAAACAAATAGAAAGATGGGGTTAAAGAAGCACCTACTCAGATATCATTTTGAGGCACTTGGTGATGATGTGGTTATCCAGATTTTGCAGCAACAGGAGCAGTTGTACCTTGACCTCTGAGTCCTTGCCATTACCTTCCTCTTTTGCTTTGTCTACCACACTTAGTCCATCAGTGTTGGCGTCCTCTTTCTCCAAAATGCTGGAAAAGCTGGGACCAAGAATCTTCGCTACGGGGTCTCTATTTTCTGTTGTAAAGCATACGACTATCAGCATATGTTCAGATCTAGAAGCTCATAACTTCATCATTAGAGTTCATTTTACATTAAACATACAGCAGGTCGCATAGGTTTGGTATTTACACTCATCTTTTCAAAAAACAAGAATCAGCTGGGATAAAAAAATTTAACCATTTATTAATTATGCATTATTCTTATGCGATGGTTGATTGTCGAGAATAAGTAGAAGCTCAATTTAAAGTCTGTGTGTCAAAGAAGTATGATGGCGTCTGGACGTAATTGAATTGAAATTCATCCTGTGGTTATCATACTAACCTTCTAGACATGCTCGGACCTCTTCCAGCTTCTTATCCTCTACCAGATGAAGCAGTTTAGCGATCTGGCTGAAGTTGCGTACATAAACAACAGGAGAGGTGAACTGCAACAATGGATGCCCTTGACTGTCTTTCTCATGGGACTGTAAATCTGACTCACTGAGGGAAAAAAGAAAAAGGCATGAATTTGTTTCACACTTATTGTGAATTGTTTTCTACTAGATTCTAAATGTCACAGCTCAAAAGGAAGATCAGATCCTGTATTTTTGTTTTTTACTTCTCTGCTTCCAAGATATGAAAGAAAGAAAACCAGAACTTCTGATGAAATAAAATGGAATGTACTCTTGTCTAACTGAAAATGAAAAACAAATTAATTATAGCTTACTTCTTTGACTAAAGCCAAGGTAAAATACATTTGGACACCATGGTGACAGCATATCCTGCACAGACACGTAATACTGAAAGCAGCAGCCAGCCAGCTGCCCGGCTCATGATTAGACCAACCTGATGTCATAGCCTGTTTTGAAATCAGATGCCACTAAAGTGGTACTCCATCGGAGCGGCTCCTCAAACACATGCTCTGCCTCCTGTGGGTGTCGGGAGCTGAACTGTTCCACAAAGCGCAGGATTTCTCTCAACAAGGACTCATTCATTGATGTGAACTCCAGTTTGCCAGTACCAGAGCTGGCTGGGCTCCACTGGGCTGCCCTGGTCAGTGATACCCCCATAGCACCAGCTGTAATATTTTTCACACAAAAAAAAAACTATAATTTAAACATTTTGTGGCTTAAAATAGTGGAGCAAGAACTTTCTTTCGTTTAGGCTATTTCAGAGCTGAAACAATATGTCAAGAAGCTATCCAGCAACACTCAAAGTAATGAGCAAAGTGTCATTTTTAATGAGGTAAATTTGATCATATAGTTAACTCTTTAGGTCTCTAGCTTAATGAATTCAGAGCTTACTGCTTTTTATAATATAAAACAAATGCATGCAAACAGTAATGCGTGTGCAATAAAACTTGATCCTCTTCAACCAATGCTTAGGTTTTGAGGAGTTTTGTAACTTATCCCATATGGGCAGGCTAAGTCCAAATAAATATATACTACCTGCAGGATCGTGACTTAAAAAGTCGCACAAAACTGTAAACTCGCATTTTTCCAGCTTTGAGTAACTTCTATCAGAACAAAAATAACGTAATTTTATGTATTTCCTAACTGCAGTCCCTAACAGGTCATAAAGATTACAAAATTATGTCAAATATTTTATATTTATAGGCGTTGACGTAATGACGTAGGCTAAATATTATCTGACTTACGTTACTCTTGTTAGCAAAGCCGTCTTGAGCTAAGCCCACTCCAACAATTTACAACTTTAACTCGTTAATAAAACTTACGTTACATGTCGTTAAATGTTCTTAAGCAAAACACTTACCGTGTACTTTTAGGTTTCCTACGACAGGTTGCTATCAGCTGTGACCATGGAAACCATCCGCTTCCTTCCTCACCAAGACGTTACCCTCCTCCCCTTTTGGTTGCTATGATACATCCAAACAGAACGGAAAGCGGGTAGAGTCAAAAATCTTAATCACAAAAAAAATCGAATGAGAAATCGAGTGGTAGCTGTATGTTTGTTTATTTCGAAATGATTATTCAGTCAAATATATTATTGCTCACATCTTGATATCAAGGGAATCAAACAGAAGATACTGAATACAATGTGATTTTATTTTAACACAACAGAAACAAAGAATTAAATACAAAAAGTTGCAACATACCAGTTTGGATGCACTGCGATAAGTTCTGTGACTTGCATGGTCAGGGACTTTAAAATGTTAAGTCAAATGTTGTCATAATACTAAATTCCCTGTATGTTTCCCTTTTAGAGAGTCCACATAACCGCATATTTGAGAGCCTATTTCCTCTCTCACTACTGGTTTGGCACTGTCATTCAGACAAACATTGGCTGGTGAAAACAGTCTATTTGAATGGATACTCTCGCTTTAGAGACAGCAAATAAGTTCACTGAGTTCAGAGTTAAAAAGCCTATCAACACAGGCTTTTATTCATGAAATAAAGATGCAGAGGTTAATGATACATTTTTCAATGGAAATGTCACTCATTTAGGTTTATACATTTTTTTCACTAATTAGTACAATATTTTCCCAAGCAACAATTTAAAGTATATAATGACAGACATTACACACGGGTGTACACAATGAGACTGGCAAAACAAAGGCAATGCTCAAGAAAACCTTACTTTGAGCTCTTGTTATCATACTACAACCACATTCACTCGTATGTGATATGAGACAGACACGGAAAGATTATGTGCAGGCCTCACAAGCAGCATGCATGAGTTCAAGCATGCGCCCAGACACATGAATCATAAATGGGATGCAGACGTGTTTTCATTCAATGTGATTAAATCCCTTCTTTCTTAGAGAACAAATTTGTGTCGTTATTGTCTGGCAGCTGCCCACCTGTAATGGCTTTAGGCGGAGTGAGAGAAGGGGTATCTCATGGCCAGTGAAACCACTGATTTCCACTAGTCCTTGCCATGTTTGGCAAACTGTGATTGTGGTGCAGAGCCCTTTTTCTTTCAGCCCTGCGTTCATGAAGGCACAGCAGGTGGAACTACTTTCCTAAACCATTTGTGTGAGCTGGACTGAGTCTGTGTGTAAATCAATCAGAAAAGATTGGGGGGGGGGCGGAGGGTGCAGGTAGTAGCTCATCTCTAGTATAAAGAGAGATCTTTGTGGTTGCTGAGGTTGTTACAGGGGTTGATTTATGAGTTTGTCTTGACCTGCAGGTATTTTATTTGGATAGCTGACTAAATTAAGAAGCATTTGGACTCTTTAACAGCGTCCTGGAGCTTCGGCTGCTGAAGGCAACTGAGCTCAGACACGCTGTTGAGCAAATTCAGACAGAGATGACGTAAAGTTTGTGCGTTTGTGTGTCTGTCTGTGAGGCAGAAAGTATACCAAAAACAAAGCAAAGAAGGATGGGAGACCAAAGTGGGAAGGGGTAAGGGAAGAAAAGCAGGATAAACGAGGGTCTTAATATATCTAACCCCTGGTCTTATTAGTCAGCCTAATTGCTGTTTGTTAAAGGGGATTAAATGAAAAGCTTTCCCCATCCTGGGTCTTTTACAAAGCTGAATAAATAAACGAGGAGTTCAGAAGCACCTGCTGGCTCTTAGATGCTCTTAAACTTAATATAGCATAATAAACACAACTGCTCTCCATGCTATTTCTCCAATGCTTGAGCTCCGGCTCTGATTGAAGCAAACGGAAACACGTTGATGACACACGCAAAGAAAGTTACTGGCGTCTCTGCACATGGACACAGTGATTGCTCCCTCCACAACACTCCATTAACATTAAACATACACAAAAGCAGAGCATGAGTGAGAAGAGTGATGAAGAGGAGGCGCCCGACTACGGCTATGTTTCCTGGTTTTAAAAGGAGTTGGAGAGCATATCCCCTGTATTTCTTCCTCTAGCTTTAAAGGCATGAATTGAAATCCTCCAAAGGGTTTTTAGGGCTTGGAGTCAAATCGAGTTCAGCGCGGCTCCTGGCTGTGCGGTTAAGGCAGAGCACTGTATCGGGGTGACCCTGGTCATCGTAATGAGCACCTGTGAGATATGTCGCACTAATCCATGTGAGCTCCTAAAATAGAAAACAGTAAAAAAGGACTGTAACAAGAGGCGGTGACCACATCCCCGGGTTGTAAAAAATCTCCAGAATCCCATCTGTCATTTCCCATAATCCTTTGTGTTTTTAGGCACTGAGAATTCAGGACAAGTGCTTTGAAATGGGATTCAGCATGAGTGACTTGTGATGGACAAGAAGCTTGCAGACTTGTAATATAACTTTCCTTTGCACGGAGCAGTTTATAGCACACGTCGGGTACTTTGTAGTGCACTGTGGGTCACTGCTAACAAGGTTATCTTTTTTATCCTGTTTTTTTTTTAAGTCTGACAGACAACGATGAGATCATTCGGTCACTAAAAGTAATTGCTGGGTTTACTGACTGTTTAAATAGGCAAAGAGGCCAATGGAAAAATGCATTAGGTCGTACTCAAGCTGTAAAGAGGGATAACCAAAGCACTGCCAAAGAAAACTGGACATAATTATTGGTAATACACACACAGCCTGAAGAATATCCACATGAACTAATCATTGAGACATATTGCCCTCTAAAATAAGAGAAATGTCACGTGGCAATAGCCATAAAAAGGCAATAAATGCTTTATTTTAGAGATTGTTTGAATGTTCCTCTGAGCTGGATGTGTCACATTCACATGCAAATTAATCAAAATCGGATCTAAATGCATCCCAGCAAACAAAACCTGATACTGTTGAGAATATTTTCTGCAACAATCTCATTGCTTGAGCGTCATTTAAACATAAACCTGCAATTGTGGCTTTCAAATACTGTGCACAATATATATTTCTAGTGGCTATCACTTGGTGCCAGTGCTTTCTTTGGAGTGGATGTATGCTTGTCAAATATAGAAGTAACAGAAGATTTATGGCCATTGGGATTCAGTGGGAAAAAAACCCAATGACAAAACCTAAATCTACATGACTTAAAACACATTTTGTTTATTTTGGTTGCAGTTCTGCAAAGTGCGCCTTGGCTCCTTTTGTAAAAATCAGTGAAGCACTTTACAACATCTTTTATGTTTTTCCAGAGAAGCTGAATGAGCGTGCACGTTACCACAAAACATATCTTAGAGAAAATCGTATCATCATAAAACTTGAGAATTCCCAGTCCCTCCGACGGGCTGATACAGTGTTTTCTTTAAACCTGCAGCTTGTCATTTAATGCAGAAATAGACAAAAATATAAAGCATGAAAATCCTGTTGAATGTCTGCTTGTGGCTTTGGAAAGCATCTGTTCATGTGCATGATTCTTGTGAAATGATATGAATTTATTATGTTGCAATTATGTCCAGTTTCACATTCACATTCATACACTGAGGCTGCTATACCAATCTGCCTGGCAGGATCTAACCTATCACATTTACACACAATCACACCCTGATGTCTTTTACTTCGGGGGCATTCGAGTTCAGTGTTTTATGCCATGAGCCAGGGATTGAAACCTGCAACCTTTAAATTGTGAGTCGAATCAATCTACCATTTAGACAATGCTTTTGTTAGCTGCCAGGCTTGTTGGGTATTTTAACCTTTGTCATACAGTACTTCAGTGTTTTTATTGCACACTACCATGTTTTACAAAGTCAGTGCAGCTGATGGACTAACCTGTATTGCATAAATGTTGACATTTCCATGGCAACGGGAAGCCTCTAATCGTGGGACTTTTTCACTGATTGTCCCCCAACTTGACAAATGTGAATTACAAATTGTCAATTACCTGGTTGACGCTACACATCTTTAAGTAAACCTTGAACCAGTGTTCTTCTGTGTTTCACTGAATCTTTGCACACACTCTGCATAACTACTGCTGGCTGAAGTTGATTTTCCTCTAGAGAATAGTTCACAGATCAGTTAAAGCCGTGCTCCAACAACCACCAGCCTTGCAGCTCATTCTCACTGTCCCTGTAGTTATGTCCCACAATAAACCCACATAGCTTAATCTTCATTCACTTGAAGTACTACACCTACTGGTTACCGCCCACTATTGGTACTATAACAAAACTACTGCAGCAACAATTTTGCCAAGGAGAACAAAATGGCAAGCTCAGATGCCGACTTCATAC